GAATTGTTCTATGATTCTGTGATTCTATGTGTGGCCTCTGGCCCAAGTTAAGTGCCGCACTGTGCTGAGAGCTGTTGACAGAAGAAGTATTGTTTGGTCCAAGTGAAAAGGTGACCAGAACCAGTCTAACATTTTTAACAGTACTGACAGTTGAGTTCCAGGTCTTTGCAATGTTCCCTGAGATTGTTTAACTTCCTGTTATAAATGAGGCCAGCACATTCTGGGTTAATAAGGATTGGCAATTAAGACTGCATCTCAATCTCTTGAAAAGTATCTGTACAAATTCAGAGCATGATGTTCTGGATGCCTGGAACTAAAAAAAATGCTTATTTTTCCATTATCTGTATTCCTGAAGCTCAGAATGAACAATTCTTCACTATAAATCACAGGGCCAGGCTAATTGTGGTCAGGAGGGTACCTATTTATCTCAGGCTATCAGTCTTAATTTCACGGTACTTTCTGTTCTCTTTCTGTGAATGGGAACAATAGTCCTCCATCTCAGGCGCTTGTTCCAAAGGTGAATATGTAACACCCTATCACATAGTCAGATGTTATCGCCAAGCTTTCCGTTAAAACTAAGGCAAAGAGACTGTGAAATACCAGCACTTTAAATAAACATGAATCCATATAAATGTCTCTTGTTTGGAGAGACATTGTTAATATGGACAGAATTTTTATGTCTAAGAAGACTTATGGAAATCAAGTCTTGTTTGTTTGTTTCTTTTAAGCAATATCATTTAACTTCTCCTCAGCCTGCGTCTTTTGGCTGAAATTAAGATATTACAGTGTTCCTTGTAAAATACGTATTAAATGATTTCCCATCATTTTATAATCACTCTGTAGTCCTAGGTTGCAAGGAGTTCTGATCTAATTAAGTAAAATATTTTTTGGATTCTGCTGTTGTTCAACCATAAAAAAAAGCTCAGAGAGGCAGGAGACATGACACTGAAAAATATTCATGATACTGACCCTCTGGTTAGTCTAAAATGTTTTCTTGTGTTTAACTTTCCCATCTCTCTGCACAGAAAATCATAACATATCTCTGAGCTTGTAAAACTCCTGGAACTCAAGACACAGTTAGTGCCATTGATTTGATGATGTGTGAGACTAAAATCCTGACATTTTTCTAGGATAGCAAGATGGATAATTTAGGTTTTTTTTGTCCTTAATGTCCACATTCCTATAAACACAAAAATGATTTGTTTAAACAGCATTGTTACAAAATACACTGCAGGTTCTTTCAAAATGTGCTTTTTTGGAGGAGCCATGTGGGACAGCTGCTTTTGTCAAAAATACCTCTTTAATTTGGAATTTAAACCACTGGAAACTATAAAGATGATATGTCCCAACCTGAAGTGGAACTAGTGGAAGAATTACAGGTCAGCACAGCTACATGGAATTCAACTACATTAATCTGGGCAGGAAAATGTGCTCTCCTTTCAGTTTGTCATATGGAACACCAGATAGGTGAGTTTATCATCTTCTAAATTTGCCATTAGTTCAAAGAAAATATAATAGAAACAAGTCATTGGTACTACTCAAGAAGCAGAATCTCCAGAAGATACTGTATTTGTTTTTCCAATCTTACCTCTATCAAGATTTTTTTTGTTTATTTTGAATTATCTACAAATCTGAGCTAAACAACTGTGAAGGCAAATATATAGATACTGATGGTGACAGCTCCACCTGCAACCTGTCAGGACCAGCCTAGGTGAGCTGTGCAGCCGGAGCGGGAACAAGGCGGCCAGGCTGGAGATGGCCAACGACTTTGGTTTCTTTTCCTAGTTCGAGGGGGGCAGCACTGAGGAGGACCTCACCATCACCTTCCTGGCCCAGCAGAGGAGCGGGATCATGGACATCGAGAACGATGAGGGCTTTGGGCCTACTGACAGTGGATTGGTTCGTCCAGGCAAGTAGCCCCAGCAGAACCAGCTGATTTCCAGGATGGAGGAGCCACTATCAATGGAGATGTCTTTCAGGAGTCCAACGGCACCACAAATGCCTATGCAGCCATAGTCAAGACTGATAGGCTGATCCAGGAACCTGAGAGCATCCGCAAGTGGAGGAAGGAGCCCCTGGAGGAGCTGGATGCGGCATCAAAGCAGGCATGGCATGAGAAGACCAAGAAGGACCTGGGGGAGTTGAACATGGATCAGAACGAGCAGATGGAGAAGAACCAGGCAAAAAACAGGGCCTCAGAGGAAGCATTCCTGAAGGAGTCCAAGGAGGAAATCTAGGGCTCCAAGTGGGAAAAGCTTTTGTTTTTTTTGGTTTTGGGTTTTTTTTTTGTTTGTTTGTTTTTGTTTTTGTTTTTGTTTTGTTTTGTTTTGTTCAGATGTGGGGTTGGGGGATATGGTTTAGAAGGGAGGTTTGAAGAGCAGGGTTGGTGGTTGGACTCCATGATCTCAGGGGTCTTTTTCAACCTGAATGATTCTATGAGTCTATGATACTTCCAGATTATTTCTTCTGTTTTGAACTCCAGAAGAATCACTTTTATGTTAGAACATATGAGTTGCAGACAAATCTTTCTGATACTTTCAGTGCACGAGAACATCAGTACTTTCCCAGGGAAAAAAACATGAAACACATTGCATTTTATATTCCTAGCAATCCTAATTATGAGATTTATTTTATGTGTTATGATTAGAATATATATTTGTACTTAAAATATTAAAATAGACACTAGGTAAATCTGCTCAAAAATATTGGGCAAATTTGCAAGACAAAAAATGTCTTTCCTTCTAAATGCCTTACATGGCTTTTGTCTTTTGCTGAAATATTTCCAGCTGGTTTTTTCCTTCTTCACACAAGAAAAATAACTTTCTTTCATTTACACATTTATTTTTTTAACTGTCAAGAAGCTGGTGATGAAAAGAAGCATATGAGGGAAAAGGGTGAGAATGCAGAAAAAAAGAAAGAAAAGTCTTAAAAATTGAAGGTGGATAATAACTCAAAGCAGTAAAAGTAATTGAGAAAGTGCTAACTACCCTGCTAGAAAATGTGGTACGAACAAATGCCTTCTACATCGCCACACTTCACACAAACTAGAACATGGAGATGGCATACGTGATTCTGAAAGGTGTCTACTCACGTTTATGGCCACAAGAAGGCTCTCCATGCTTGGTGAGGTGGACCTCTTCTGTTTTGCCACAGTGAGATTTCCCAGAAGGAGAAATGGCTTCAGCTGCTTCTGACTCCTTAGACTGTGAGTTGTTCTCCCCACCTTTTCCAGAACTGGAAGGCAGAAGACTAATGGAGTCCATACTGATTCTTCTTCTGGTTAGTGAATGAAACTGTTTAGGCTGGTTAGTCTAGTCACAGTATGTTGACAGGCAGCCTTAAATGTCATTCCCTTTGATTCTACCAACAACATATACATCATCTCCACGTAAAGCAGCCTACTTGAAAGTAACTGTAGCATTAGCATTAGTAATACTAACAGTTACTAAATATTCTTGTTGCTTGGAGGTTCCTTCTGTCTCATGTCTTTCTAAGGCAGTGTAGTCAGATGGATTAATTGAAAATAAGTCTCTTTCTCCTCTAGCCTCAGAGGAAATTGCATCCCTTCCTCCTGAGGGAAGACAGAGGAGAAGTGTCAGTGATTTGTATGTTTGCAACCTCATTAAAGGCTTTGTCTGAAACTGAGGCAATATTTCCAGCAGGCATAGCACGTAGCAGTCACCTTCCTGAGGTCAGAGATAGCATGAGTGCCTCAAATTAATGTTACAAATCCTCCAGTAACCATCAGTTGGTTCCAGAGCTGGATTAGTCTTTGATCTTAATTTTTAATCACTTTCCAGTTACATGAAATATTAGATTGCAGTCCATGAACACACATTAATTAGCATTAGGGGTCTGAGGCAAAGATGTTGTCACAGACCAGGATGAGAGATTTAAAGAACATCCCAAATCTTGCCTCTTAAAGATAGTTCTTCCATCAAGAATGATAATAATTATTTGAGCACTCTTCTTAGTTCCTAAACCCAATGTCATTTGTGCTTCCCAGTCCCTGACCGCAGGCAGAGATTTGGTACCACAAAAAGGGACGTGAGGTTTCATGAACTCTGATGAGGACCTTTCCGTTTGGGATGGTGACTTGCAAATATACAGTAATGAGTGACAAATTAAAACTACGATAAATAGATAAGCTTTTACTACAAAAATATTATCAAACACCATCATTTAATGCAGAAAGTCTAAATAACTGTAGCACTGACATAGGATTACAAAGTAATTCTTAAAGTTGCCTGGCAAATATTTAACTATACAACTTGTTCACACCATCAAAGGGTAAAATTTCCATTAAATTAGCAAGGAAATGATGTAATGTCTATCTTGAAATAGGAAAAATAGCATGACAGCCCTTCTGACTGCCGATGAAAAGAGTTCTGGATAGGAACCGTCAAAGCTATAACCATGAGCTACTGAAGCTGGAAGAGGTAACCTAAACCTCTCTTCCACGGTTACGTGAAGTGTACCTCCTTGTCAGACAGAGAGATGAATCTTCAAAACTCACATATTCTGTTAACTCTGAGACAACATATGAGAAGAGTGAGATGCCAGGAGTGTTCTGCATTTTATTCCCCTAAAAGACACATAGTAAAGTTTATTTATTCACCTTGATTATGGAAACTCTTGTCACAGGTGAAGTATTTTGCCAATTTCAAGAACACTGATTGTCTCAGGTGTGTTGTGAAGGTAATTCAGGCTCTGTGGTGGCTGATAATTTTTCTCAATATTCATTGTCTAGTGTTGCGTCAGGTTTACTCTCTCCTCTCACATCTCTTATCTCATTTCCTCTTGTCTCATCTCATCTGTTTTTCACGTAGCAATTCTTTAAAAAAATAAATTCATCTCTGGAATAGTTGCTATATCAGCACTTGTTTTTGTCCCCATGAGAGAAAATGATGTGTTTATCCTAATTTGCCAGGTTTTTTTTTCTTTTTTTTTAAAGAACTTGACTGTTTTGACCAACATCACACTCCTAAATGTCTGACCGCTTAGTTTCTTAACTGTGCTTTCACTTTGGATATATACTGACTTTTGGATCAGTTTAAATGTTGTTTGGAAATACAGACAACTGATGAGTCTGTGTGCCATCATATCACATGAAGAGAAAAATACATATCTTAGTAAAAGAATCCTTTTTTCATTAGAGAAATGTATATAAGATTAGAACCAAACTAGATTTGAATGTGATAAGAAATGACTTATCTTCCAATTTCAACCTCTTTTGTGTTTCTAGGTTTCCATTTTTATTTGTATGTATATTCTTTCCTGCAATTCCTGATTTTGACTTCAAAAGGGAAAAAACCAGAATATCAAGGGACAAGATTTCCAATCTTGACAGAAGCAAAGTTAGATTTCCATTTTGCATGATCTCAAAAATGTTTGAATTTGATTTTCAGTTTGGTTAATCACCTGAATTCCCTGACAACCTGCTCATGGCAAGCACTCTTCCTTCCCCTTCGGGGTGAATTTAGTACCCTTTTCTCAGAAATCTTCTAATCTCTGATAGGAGTCTTTAGGTAAAGTCAAGGCTTATTTGTGCGAATAGGGCCATAAAGAGCGAGTTATTGTTCTGCTGACCGGAATTACTGGCGAACAGCGAGGTGTTAATCCTGCCACCAGAGGGCACCCACATGGCCCAGCCAAAGTAACGAGACTCTAATGAAGTTGCGATAGAAGAATTAATAACAATTATTAAATGAGGTCAGCAGATGTCAAACAAAGCACGTTCACTCCTTCCTGCCAAATTCTACATGTGTGGAAAATTAAAACAATGCCTCGGGATTAAACAATCTTAAACCAAGTTCTGAATCCCGTATTTAGGTTTTACTTAGGAAATAATCTCCTCTTTGCCAGACCCTGAAGTCCCTATATTTTTAACCATTACCAGTTCTAGAAAGCTTCTATTGGTGTTCTTCTGAGTAAGTAGAACAGAAAATTGACCAGCTACTATGTCATCCAACCTGCAGAAACATTTTCCTGTCCACAGCGAAAAGGCAAATAGGTTTTTATTTTTGGCCCCAGACAATGCATTATGTTGCTGATAGGATGTTGAGAGCACTCTTTTTATTAAGAAATACAGAATGTGGAGAAGCTATTTTCTACATATCACACAGCTAAAATTAATAGCTTTTTACTCTGTATATTCCATAAATTTTACATTTAGCAGGCCTGGAAAGGAACGAAAGGTAAATGAGCTTTGCATGGAATGTTAGTTTTCCAAAATAGTTTAGAGAAAAGCTTTAATTATCATAATATCATGAAATCTGAAGACTTTTGAAGACTGCTGATTTCTAAGGAATTTCAGAAAGAGACAGTATTTCAGAAACATTGATTTTCTACTACAGAATAGTGTGTCTCTAAGACTATGAGATCTATAGAAACTGCAGCTATGCCAAAGACTGTGCCGTATGTCTTACTAGGTTTTACCTGCCACCATATCTGGCTCCCAGACATATTTATATTTTGAAGCATTTAAGAAACGATTTTATATATGCATGGTAATGTTCTATGCATTGAGGGCAAGATAGAGCTCTCTAATGCCCTGTGATTTTGGGGACAGTCATCATTGCTCTCAATATGCTCAGAAAACAGTCCCTAGCATGTGATATTTACACTACTTGTCCTTTTTTATTATCCTATATAATCTCTAGGTGAAGAACTGTTAAGCTAAAAACCGCTCTCAAAACCATTGTAGGTGTATTGTTTATGATCCACTCACATTCTCTTTTCTTTGCAAATGAGTCCAATCTTTGAGATATTTACGCAGTTTCTTTTGGGAGCCAGTGCTTTCAAATCTGAATTGTGCTTTAAGGAAAGAGGTTTAATGTCGAGGGAATAGTGCACCAGAGGCAGAAAGGAGAATTTGGAGTTTTCAAGACTGCCAAATAGCCCTCATTGGTTAGACTAAAGGCAAGTAGCTTTGCAGAGGATTGCAAGCAGACTTGCAGTCAGAGGTAAAGGATGAATAATTCTCTTCAGTTCTGTATATGAAAAATTGTACGTTATTGCAGAAATTCTTACTAGCAGCCAAGTCTGGTAATATGTCTTATAAGTAATTAGTTTAACTGATGTGGAATCACTGTAACCCCAAGACTTCAACAATTGTTTAAAGATTTAAGTTTCACAGTTGATTTCATAAGCCAGAATAGTCAGCAAGCCAGGTTTGTGGCTGAGTTGTGAAAGTTAACAGGACACTGTGTCAGAACTCAAGTTAAAAAATATTAAA